TCACCAGCATTTGTGTAAGACCAATTTAAGGTTAGCAAGATATCAGCCCTACCACAATTAGACCATTAGCCCAGCAGGAAGTCTGTTTCCAAGCAGTTATTGATGAGATAACAGGAAGCAAGATAAGAAGTTCAAACTATAGGTAACAGTGTGTTTTTTTTGTTTATATCTAACTGTGGAGCTTATCAGTACAGTATAGAGACAAATGAGCTAGCTGCAGCACTCTGCAAAATACACTCTTCCCACCAATATGCTCTCATACCTTTCAGAAGTAGAAAGGGAGATAGAAATCTCAAAATGCTGCACCAGAGCAGCTGAGGACACCAGAGCAGCTGAGGAGACTAACAGAGCTGCACCACACACCGCAGTGCAAACGGAGGATCAGCAATGGGACATGAAAGCAAGGCCAATTCGATTTGCTTGTCCCAGTGATTTGCCAGGTTAACCCCCTCCGCAGTAAAAGCTCATTTAGTTTCTCAATCTTTCACATTACTTTCTGCCATGAATTCTATTTAAGCATCTCTGAACACAGCAAACTAAAATCTGTAGACAATTTAAGCCAAAAACCCTCTGACTGTCGACAGCCCTTTGAAGTTTGCAGAGATCAAGAAAACCAGCCACCACAGAAAAGCAGCTTTTTAATTAAACGTTTTTTCTCCTGATTAGAAACAAGTTTTAAAGCCCCAGTCTGTGCCCTGTCAGAAATCCTTGAGAATGCAATCCGAGGCTAGGGCGAGAGGCATTTAAATACACGTGTATGCACAGAAGTTTGTTGTCCCAAGAATAACAGAGCTGACCTCACCTGACCAAGATTTGCTCTCAGGCCATCCAGCACTCCTCCAACACCCCTGCACTCTGAAGGCACCAGTGTCCTGAAGTAATGATCTTTTCCTCTCCGTATTTGACCTGGGGCTATTAAATGAGTAGCTACAGCTCAGCTCTGCGACAGGTCTTATTCTGCAGTCGAGCAACCTGCACAATGACTGTGTTTTACACCATCTCTAGCACAAGCAGAACTTCCAAAACTCCAGTTTACTTCCCAGGTAAAGGATGTCACAAGCCACAAGGAAGGGGGAAGCTGAAGCAGGAGAGCAGTTACATTGCAGAAGCAGCAGAAAAAGAGAAAGGCAAATGCTGATTATTGTGTAAGTGGTTTTGCTACCCAAAACTATAACCTTTGGAAACATTACATTTTGAATTAAAAGAGGAACTTGTCAGAAATTACTTTCGAACACTTTTACTCTGAAGTCATTTTATCTCATGAATGCTTACATTTAGCAACCCCCACTACGAAACTGTATTTCTCATCTTCTCTATTAGGCAGTACCGCTAGCACTTCACAACAAGAACTATTAAAGTAGATTTGCTAGACTGGTAGCAGACCACATCCAATAAAGTCTTTCCATTCCAAATCCAGTCTCTCTTTCTCCAGAAATCTTCCTCCTCCCCGTCCTTGGGGATGAAGATTAAGGAAAGCAATGCCGTTGCAACAATTAGACTGAAGTGACTTTTCCAAAATAAAACTGCATGGTGTCTCCAGGAAGCAGTATTAATTTCTTTTACTGGCCAAACTTTATTTAATATCAGTGGTTCCCTAGCAATTTTCAACAGGAAGCAATAGTAGATTTATTCTCAAAAACATTTATTTAATGTTCTTCAATTAGCTCTGTAGAATGTAACTTCAGTTTCTATCCCACCTTTACAAGTTTCCAAACCTCCTCTCCCTTGTGTTGACTTCGCACTGGAAAGACCTTGTCAATCATTCTCAATTTTACTCATATCCCTATATAAAGAGTTTTGTAATTTAGCCAATTCAGAGTAGTAGCTTCTCAGCAACTGTAATCCTTCAGGTTTTGTCTGTCTCATTCAATATATTGCAACAATATAATTTTATTTCTTCGCATATGCCACGCATAACATTATTCCCAGTTGTAAAGCCCAATAAACTCATTTATTTGGGATCTATTCCCAGCGATAAAACCCCTATCTATTTACCTCTATTAGTATTCAGCCCTGCAGGATTTGAACTATCCTGTTTTATATAAACAAATTAATTTTTTGTGGTTGTTTTTATCGTTAATACTACTTATGTTGTATGGCTCAATAATACCGTGGTTTTAACAGCAAAGGGAAAGACAGAAACACACAAAGCACAACTCACTTATTTTTTAACATTTGGAGTGAGCAACAAGCATAAGCATAGGAATACTCAGCAAGTTCATAAGCTAGGAGTCTTCTCTTGTGCTTTACTTACTCCAACATTGAGTTTCTAGGAGTTTAGCAAAGCTGACACTTTTGAACAACAGAGGTAGAGACTGTACCTTGAACAGTTTCAAAAATACCTTTCTGAGCTATTTTCCAAAGGACTGATACCCATTGTTAAGCTAGTACTTAAGCTAAAAGAGTACCAAAAGCAACAAAAGAGAAGAAGAAAGGAAGACAGTAATCAGTGTCAAGTGATATTAAAGATCAAGTACTTTTGTAAATGACACGTCGCCAAATTTTTTTTTTTTCCTTAGGGACCACAAATATGTTTTCCGAAACATTAAAACTCAGACAGAAATTAGGGAGGGGATATGTGAGCATAGAAGTAAACCCAACCCAAGAACACATCAGCTCACTCATTTTAATGGAAGGCCTTCCCATCCCCCTCGCTTTTTTTTTTTTAAACTGATACTGTGATTCTAGTAGTTTCAAACCAGAACAATGAGCCACTCTTAAGCATTTAAGAAACTAAAAAAGAAAAACAAAGACAAACCAAAAAAAAAACCCACCAAAAAGGTAAGTATGTAAAAAAGGTAACTAAATACAAGTCCAAGGTAACACTGAAATGACTATCTTCAGATTACTGAACATTTGAAACAACTCTATGCAATAATCCGCTATCTGCAGCAGTTTCTTTAAAATAATTTTTTTTTTAAATCCTGAAAGAATATTGAGAACCTTCTGTTATTGGACTGACTTTGATTAATTTAATCAGCATCACGAAAGCTGTTAAGATATTTATATTATTTTAGGACACCAAAGCCTTAGGGTATTCAGGTTCATTTAAAGTACATTAGTAATAAAGCAGTTTAACATCATTGCATGCTATATTCCCAAATCCTGACACGAAGCCCTGCACAACATATTGCAAGCAGACAAAAGCATATCCATTTCCCTTTATAAAGGCCTCAAGCAATAATTCAAGAGTAGAGATAAAGACCAGAGACTGCAGCAGCAGAACACATTTGCTTCATTTGTTTGGATTAGGCTGCCTTCTTCCTCTTTATCTGGAGAGCTTTATAGGGACAATTTTTAAAGACCACCACCCTATTTTAGAGCTAAGC